TCTTTATAACCACAGTATAATTTATATTGGTATAATACTACTACCTAATTTATAATCTTATTCTGTTATTTTCCCAATTATCCTAATTGATATCTCTTATAGTGGAAGGTGGGAGAGATTTTTTTCTGTCCTAAGAGCCAATCAAGCTTACAAACTGAACATTTTTTGTGAAAGGATGAAGAAGTACAAATTAGTAGTTACAAAATAGTCACAGGGATGTAGAGTACAGTGTAGGACAATAGTCAATATTACTGTAATGCCTGTGCGTAGTACCAGATAGGTACTATAGAGTAATCAAGGGGATCGCTTCATATATTATATAAATGTCTAACCATTGTACTGTATAACTGAAACTAATATAAAATAAAATAAAATAAAAAATTAAACCATTTTTTAAATCAAATGAGCATCCAGATATTAGTAAATTGGTGAAAACTTCAAGGTTCTAAAGTAGACTTCTAAAAGCATCATTCTTTCTAGAGAATTCTATGAAATTTTTTCTTCAAAGTTAAACTTCCATATTTGAAAATTAAAGTAACTGCTTCATAGCACAAATAAATAGAATGCAATAAGAACCACTGAATCCTAAATTATAAATGCTTACTAGAGTCTACACAAGATTTCTAAGCATTGTTTTCTATAGGAAAAAGTTTTTAAATTATTCTTTGTATTGCTCTGAACTCATTATAAGCACTAAATTGAGCTACTGGGTTTGTATAAACTCATAATTAACAAAAAGAGAAGCCGAATTTAGTTACAGCCTGATCTTTGCCTACTATTACTAACAGCATATTATGCACAAATATCTTGAACTTCATTTTTAAAAGTAGTTGACTGGAAATGTGAAAGAAAGGAAAGAATACTGTGTAAATAAAACATCATCAACTCTTCTGAGGATGTAGTTATCATTGATGTTTTTGCTTTGGGACAAGTTTTCCATATGAAGTATGTTCTTTTAAAGTAATCATTGTTGGAAATATAAATTCAGCTAAGACTTACTGAAGTTTGCAACAGTTTTTGTTTTTGTTTTTGTTTTCTTTTTTGCCATCTAAACATTATAAATGATGATTAAGTACCTAAGTCAGCACATGATATCCTATTCAACCCATAATGTACCTGCTCATAGTATCAATGTATTCTAAGAGCTAATTACAGGTACCAAGAGGGGTAGGAAAGGCAAATAGAAAAAAAGAAAAATAAGCATAGCAACACATGGGTATTCTTGCATGCAATTAATTTATAACCCTGCTATATAAACCTGAATATCTGAATTCAGCTCTTTGTGTGTATAACTCCACAGGTGGGGTCTTCTGCTTTCAGAGTCAAAGATGTTCTTTCATGCCTTTCAGAGGGTAAAATGATTCACTTAACAAATGTGTGGCTGGAGGTTTGTATGTGCATGGAGCATAGGGGGAAAAAGCACAGGAAACTCTAAGAAGCAAGACGTGAAAGATAGGACAGGGCTGTGTTGCGGGGGCCCTACTGATCAGGCTACAAACTATGAGTTTTATACTGCAGGTAGGGGAAACATTAAAGGTGCTTAAACAAGATGTGAGATGTTTAAGAAGAAAACTCCTTCAAGGAATGTGAAGAAACAGTCAATGAGTTGCACCGAAAGATCTACTCCTTCGTTGGGGTGAAAAAACGTGAGGTCCTACTACCAGCTGCAGCTTTTTGAATGTTGCTTCAGAATGACCCTGCTATGTGGCCCCTTGGCCAAGAGTATCTTTGGGCCTGGTAAGTGTCCCTTGAAAGGCAAGTTTCTTGAGTGGAACTGCTATGACTCAGAAGATCTAACTGAAAAAAAAAGAGAGAGAAAGATCACTGAGGAGGCCACGCTGGTCTTACAAAAAGAGAGATTTATCCCCTTGTCGGAGGTCCTTTACTCCCCCAACTGATCTCTTTCTAATAGGAAGATAAGGATCTGCCCCCAGAGCTCACAACTGACATTGACTTAAAAGAAGACCAAAAAATAAACTCCAATAAACTCCAATACAGACATCATCCTATCTTGGATTTCATTTAACAATTTCCCTTGAGCATATGACAGATATTTTGAACAGGTTTGGTAAGTGATTGATGAATCACTGATTGCATCTCTGGCCATCTCTAAGAGATTTAGACCCCGTTAGAGGTATTACACCCTCCACCACTGGGGAAAAGGAAGGCAGACATAAAACCACAAGGGTCATCAGAGAAGACAGGGAGTGAGCAGGGGAATAACTAGCAGAGATCTGTCCCCTGGCACTGTTCTCCTTCTAGAGATGGTAAATAAATTCTCAAGGAGCAAAAGACAAGCTCTGCTTATAATCCCTGAATCCTACAGCACATACATTTACTGATCTTCCTCTCAACCTATTTTTATACCTCCTCTCCAAGCTGGTTACTACACACACAACTACCTCTACTCTCAGAAAAGCCTGCAAGAAAGTGACTGAGAAACTTCAGTTGAGATCCCCTTTCTTGCTTCAGGAAAGAAGGTAACGTAGTACTTAGAAGAGAAAAAAAACTTAAATGCAGATGTAGAATATATATGTTTTAAAAAACAGTCTCCCGCTAACTCTAATACAGTTTCACCCAAAACATTTAATATTTATTATGTGTCAGATATTGACAAGGTGCTTCCACCTTCTCGATTCATTATCTCATTCAACAGTCTTTATAACAACCCTTTGGGGAAGGCATTATTGTCTCCATTTGATATTTGAAGAAACTAAGAGACAAGAAATAATTGGCTTGTAGAATTTCCCACAACAATGTAAGTGCTAGAATTCAAATCCTGGGCTCCCATATTCAAATCCAGTACCACTTCTATTATGTCACAATAGCCTACGACTTACTAGCACTGGATGAGTAAATGCACTAACTTTCGAGGGCTTTCAAGAAAGTGTATACAATGCGACAGAGGGCTGTATAGCACAAAAGTGTTACCAGGCATTTAAATAAGTATTATTTATTTAACCCTCAAAATACCCTCAGTAGTCAGTATTCTTATTCTCTTCATCTTACAGAAAAGGAACCAAAGCTTAGAGAGGTTAATAACTTGTCTATCACATACAGCTAGAAAGTGGTGGAAGCAGAATTTGAACCCAGAGGGGCAAGAGCACTGGAAG